TGGTGGTGGTGTTGGCGATGATGGTGGTCGTGATCGTGGTGGTCGACTGAGTCGATTCTGTTTCAAATGAGTACCTGGTGCGGTGTGTAAACATCGCCACCAGGGGAAACAAAGGCGGCCGGGCGTAGTGCTGGCCATCCACCCCCTCGTGTGCGGAGCCGACCTAAATAAGGTGTTCGCTATGAGCACTTGCCCCAACAGTCTGTTCAGGCTATACGGAGGATCTTTAGCTTTGGTGATGGTGGTGATTGTGATGGTGGTGATGGTGGTGGTGATGGTGGTGATGGTGGTGGTGATGGTGATTGTGATGGTGGTGGTGATGGTGGTAATGGTGGTGGTGATGGTGGTGGTGATGGTGGTGATGGTGGTGGTGATGGTGGTGATTGTGATGGTGGTGATGGTGGTGGTGATGGTGGTGATGGTGGTGATTGTGATGGTGGTGATGGTGGTGGTGATGGCGGTGGTGATGGTGGTGGTGATGGTGGTGGTGGTGATGGTGGTGATGGTGATAGGAGGTCAATTGCCTGTCCAGTGACCGCTGCGCTATTGATTCGTGTTCAATGTGTCCCAGACAGCAGGAGGGGCGGCGGGATGAGGGGATGGTGGGGAGATGTGGGGGAGGGGAGGTGCTGGGTATGGGGGGATGGAGGGAGGGAGGAGAGAAGAGAGACACCCAGACACAAAGAAACATGCAAACACAGTCAAACAGAGAACCACACAGACACACGGACACCATATACACAAAGGCAAAGAAACCCCGTGTAGCCTCAACATTATTTTGGGGAAAGTGCCGTTAGCGAGCGTCACCGGTGTGTAAACATCACCACTGGAGAGACACACATACACACTGACACATACACACAACAACAACCGCCATTCGCCACTAAGTGGCGATGACGTCACCACGACGCTTGTGCCAGGCCATGTGCACATTGAGGCCACGTGAAGTGTCGAACGCCCGCTGGCAGGAGGTCACGGGGCAGACCCAAGTGCCACGGGTCGACTGACTGAGATGACTGGCTGATGCACCACCTGTGCCCCCTACTGTGCCAACCTGCTGTGCTTTAGCCACAGGGAAACACGCAGAGACATTCAGAGACAAAGAGAGATGCACAGACACACAGAAACACACGGGGAGACACACATGGAGACAGAGACACACAGAGGCAGACAGAGATAAAGAGAGACACTGGGAGACGCACAGAGACACGCGGGGAGGCACAGAGAGACACAGGGAGACACAGAGAGACAGAGACACAGGGAGACACTGCAGGAGGAGAGTCGATGCGTGACTGAGACGTGACTCATCACCTTGAAGAGAGAGAGAGAGAGCGGAGGAGCGTGGAGAGAGAAAGGAAGAAGAGAGAGAGAGTGAAGGGAGAGAGTGAGAACAGAGGAGAGGGTGGAGGGAGAAGCTGGAGGAAGGAACGTGGATGAGACAAGGACAGAGGAGGAGAGAGAGACTGAGGCAGAGAGACAGGGACATTGAGGGGAAGAGACAGGGAGGGAAAACGAGAGAGTCAGACATTCACACAGTCACGTGAACAAGGTCACATGGACAGACACGGTGAGACAAGACGGAGACATGGTGAGAATTAAGAGTTATCATGACCGTGTGGGCCGAGCCATTCCACGCTCCGAGGTCGGGATCAGAATGATAATCCGTCAGGCGTGGGTGTCGGGTTGCGTGGGATTATTTTGGGACTGATTTTGCATTTTCACATAAATCCACGGGGGGGAGGGGGGGCGAGAAGTGGGGGGGGGAGTTCATTGAAATTCATGCAGCCGCCCTTGAGAATGACACCTGGCAGACAGAGACACAACAAAGATCACCCGTGTAGCCTTATCAGACTGTTGGGGCAAGTGCTGTTAGCGAGTACCAATTATGACAGCCCGCCACGGCACATGTGGGGGTGGGTGGTCAGCACCACGCCCGGCCGCCTTTGTCTCCCCGGTGGCGATGTTTACACACCCCCACCAGGTACTCATTTGAGGCTGAGTTCAAGATATTCGTAGCGCAGCACGCTAACCTATCGCTCCAAAGACACAGATGCCCTGTATAGCCTCTACCGCTAAACTACCGCTCCTCATGCATACAAAGATAAATATTAATCCCGTATAGCCTTTGAAGGCCGGCACGGCCGCCTTTGTCTCCCTCTTTGGCGATGTTTTCACATTGCAAAAGGTACTCATTTGAGGCTGAGTCGACCCAGCTGAGGCCCAAGACCGGTTCAGATAATCGTCACTGGTGCTGGTCGTGAGCGGAAATCGAACTCGGGACGCCGGTAGTGTAACGGCTCGTACACCAACCACGACACTACCGTTCCCCATACAGACATACATCATACATACACAAAGACACACACACGCACATCGACCACACATCCTTCACTCAGACCACACAGCCACAACACACAGATGAGACAGCCATCAACAACAACAGCTGTCGTTCGCCACTCAATGGCGACGACGTCACCACGGCGCTTGTGCCAAGCTAGGTGCACCTGGAGGCCACGTGAAGTGTTGAAGGCTCGCTGCTGGCAGGTCACGGAACAGACCCAGGTTCAATGGGTTGACTGACTGAGATGACTGGCAAATGCACCAACTGTGCCCCCTACTGTGTCAATTTGCTGCGTTTTAGTCGTCCAGTGCTCCGCTCGTTGTTGTGAGCGTCGTTCATCCGTTGGAGGGCGACTACCTCCACTTGCCAAGTGGCATCCTTCACGAGGCTCCTCCATGGAAGCTGATCTTGACACCGCTAGTACCAGTCTTCGGCAAGTCCACTCAGCTCCACGTTATATTGTACCACATAAACCTCTCCAGCCTGTGTCACTCACTCACCGACTCACACGCACATCGGTCCGTTTACTCTTTGGCTCTTTCGGTAAAGTCACGTAGAAAGAAAATAAATTAAATAATAGAATGCGATGTTTCGATTGCAAAACAAGTTAACCGTCATCAGGTAAGAATGAATGAGAAAACAAATCGCTCTCTTCGTGGTGCTAACGTTAAGAAAAAAACGCCACTTTTTTCAATTTTTCTTACCTTGGTTTTCACACCTGATGATGATTGCTTGTGTTGCAGTCGAAACGTCGTGAGAATTGTATTGTTTTATATTTTTATTATTTTATTGTTTCCCTTCTACGTGACTTTACCGATAGAACCAAGAATATGAATCCCTGCAGTCACGAAAGCTTTAAATCTAAATTTAAACCTAGTAAACTTAGAAATACAATGCAATACAACACAGAGAGTCGGCTAACACAACAGTCAACACCCTACCTGGTTGATTACGTTCTTCCAAAGATTGCTAAATTTGAGAGAGAGACAAAACACAGACACGGAGACACATAGACACACAAGCAGAGACACAAAGACACACAGAGTCCATTTCTTCTGTAGTCCGTGCCCCGCCCATTTAGCCCCCTCTGTCTGGTCAAACAGGAGATGCTTGGGCACCCGGTGGCTGGGCACGCGGGCTACATGACGAAGCCTCACTAATAGGACTGTGTCCAGATCTTTCAAGAATCTGTAAGTTCCTCACACCAAGATGGATCGTAGGCATGCCACTCAGAATATTTCAAACCGGCGCCAATGTTCTCTAAGAGGGGTCCAGGTTTTGCAAGCGAAGAGAAGGGAGGGCATGACTGTGGCCGAGAAGACCCGAAGCTTCGTGTGGAGCGACATGCCAGGTAGCTTCCACACAGCGTTATGCAGCTGGTGGAAATACAATTCCGCCCGAATGATTCGGAATGAGACCTCTGCTTCCAAACTGAAGCACATGAAAAGTCCTCCACTCTCTCTTCACAATTGCTCGTGGAGAGTTCAACGAAATAAAATACCCACGTAGGCGTCTTGATAGGGCCCGTCTCCTTCACGGCAAGCTCCAGAGTTCAGCAGCAGACTCTCCAACCCATTCTACAGAGCGAGCAGCAATTAGCAAGTCAAACATTTAGCAAGGTTATTGATCAATAGGAAGTAATTCCTGAACCACACCGAGGCATCAATCAGCCTCCTTGTTGTATCCGAACCAGTTCGCAGATCCGCTATGGTTTCAGGCAAGGGTGGTTCTGCAAAGACCTGGTACTCTGTCCCGTCAGCAAATGTACGGTACAGTCTGTTCTCATAGAACGCGGTAGTTGCGTTCCTGAAGAACACCGCGTTATGGAAATATCGCGTTATGATAAATAATGTATAATATAGGGGGTAAAGCACAGTCCGCGAAAACGCGTGAGGCGCGCACGCAGGCTGAGCAAAGACGGAGGCACGTGGGTAGCATCTAGAAGCATCCAGCAGCATCCCATTGCCTTGTGTGATGCTGCTGTGCCAAGGCAGCCGTACGAGCGCTTATTCCTACTCGCGCTGCGACGTAGTTCCGTTCACTCGATCGCGTTTTATCCAAATCGCACCCGTTTTCTAAAAAAATGCGTTCCCAAACACATAAATCGCGTTATATCCAATTGGCGTTATTAAAACACGCGTTAAAGAACATACCATTTCAACAGGATCTACATCTATGCTTTATTGGCCCGGGTCAAGGCATTCGATGCAAATGAAGAGGCCAGAGCTTTGGGTTGTTCTTTTAGAATTTTGGGACCACTGACCCTCTGCAGACGGCCAGGGCCGTTCGTGGTGGTGGTGGCCAGCCTGGGTAACGTTGCGTGGCTGGGAGTCAGAGCCATTCATGACAAAGATCCCCCGTATAGCTTAAACATACTTTTGCGGCAAGTGCTGTTAGCGAGCACCCATGAAGGCCTGCACGGCACACGAGGGGGTGGGTGGCCAGCACCACGCCAGAGCGCCGTTATTTCCTTAGTGGCGATGCTTGCACACTGCACCACGTGCTCATTTGAGGCCGAGCCGATCTAGGGAGAGGCGCAAGACCGGTTGCGATAATCGTATTTGGTCTTGGGGGCCGTAAGCATAAATCAAACTCGGGTCGCCAGGTTCGTATCGCAGCACGCTCACCACTCACACAGAAGCAGTGCCACACACTGCACTCGGACCCGCGAGGGTTAAACACTTTATTATAATTATGATTTTGCTCAGTGTGTACGTGAATAACACATCATCAGTAGCATCCGAGACGAGGGGGGGGGAGAGGACTGCGCACTCCGGGCATTACACCACGACGATCGTGACGATCCAGGGGTGCGATTTGCTTAGTCTCGTTTGCACGGTTTCTGGGATTATTTTTTAGCTCCCATGTTGTAGTTTTGTTCGCACCCGTTTCGCATGAAATGGTTCATTAGCATATCATTTACATAAAACAGGCGACATTTATACGATTTTTAAATATATTAATTTAACAAAAAAACCTGTTAAAATGTGAATTATAAAGCAAAAATAATATATTATACCAAAGTCAGCCATATTCCAGTTTAGGCCCAATGCTCCATTCTCCCCACGGCCAATGCAGAGCTGTGCACAATTCGGAAGCCCTTCAGCACATGACAATACCGCACGTGTTACAAGTGCTCAATCTATCCAGTCGGCCACCTCCAAGGCTCCTCCTTTCAATTTCACAATTTCCCTGACCGTGGAAGCAAAACGAATCACAGGCCGAATGATCGGTAATCCGAGTGGTCGCGCGTGCGAGAACCCCGTTACGATTTATGCCTCCGCAGCCCCAAGAGAAGCCGATGGGGCATTAAGGGCCGGCGCGTGTTCGAGACGGACGCTGGGAATGTTGTGGCAAGATGGGATGAGCGACGCCGGAGTGACAGGTGGGGAGCGTCGTTGTACACTCGCTAACTGGCTGAAAACATCTTAACACGTATAGAACCGCAGAGCAGATGTTTGTCGGTGGCGCCGGCTCACGCCACCTGGCAGCCTTCCAGCTTGCCTGCAGTCCCGACCCGGCGATTGTGAGCACGCAGTTTGCATGAACGCCGCTTTATTAAACTCATCACGAGATTGATGTATTTTCGTTTAGCTGGGTGGGACGCGTGTGCAGGGTGCAGGTGGAGAAGGCCGATTGCCAAGACGGGCGTGGGAGCGATCGTCTCCACGGGCCCAGCGACTGAGCAGATCAGAATATTTATTTATACCGGAGTAATCTGATGAGCTATGAAGCTCTTTTTTCCACAGATGTCTAGATGGCGGAGGTCGCCGCGCGTTGAGCGTGCGGCAGCTGCGGGATCTGGCTGACGGCGGAACGCGTCGGCAGCGAGGAGTGGTGGTGGCATCCTCGCCTATGGCAATTGAGGCCTTCTCGAAATGCAAATTAAATTGTTACGTTTATGCTAACGGAGAAGAGGAGGAGAGGGCGAATAACGAGACGGAACAAAACTAGAAACGAGAGAGAACCGAGACGGTAAAAAACGAAACAACGATAATCAAATTGTGACCCCCGCAAGTGGGTGACGATTCACCTGGGGGAGGCGAGTGGGTGGGGTGAAGCCGAGTGAATGCACAAGCCGCAGCCACCACTTGCATCTACAGCAAACACACAACTACCCACGGCAAGCACGGAGTGTTTCTGAAGATCAGAGAGAGGACGGGAACCACACAAGGCCGGCGACACAAACACCGAAATGACGTTGTGTGCGGATCACGAATCACAACAACAACAAACCCAGAGTAGGGATCGAGGGGGGGCAAAGGGGCTGACGCTCGGCAAATCTCGCAAAACACAAAGTCTCTCGGTGTGGGTGGTGGGGGAGGTAGGGGGGCGGGTGGGAGGGGGTGTCGACGACACAGGATATGACATCACAATGATTGGCTATTAGAGGAAGTGACGCCGCGCAAAAACAAATTAAAAAAATAAAAATTTACATCAGAGCGCGGAAAAAAAGATTACGGTTGCCGGAATGCACGGCGATTGCCCATCCGATGAACGGACGGTCGGTTGGTAATATCGTCAGCCAATGGAGAGGAAGGGGGGCAGCACCAGTGAGGGGGGGCGCTGAGCAAGGTGGTAGCAGAGGTGTGGAGGGGGCAGTACCCAGGGGGGGGGGGGTGGAACAAGAGGGAGCAGAGCCACAGGGGACGTGGCACCAGTGAGAGGTGTGCGACAATACTAGATGGGAGCGGAATGAATGGATGGGGGACAGAGGTAATACGAGAAGGGAGGGTGTGTTGCTAATGAACGGGGGGCATCACTAGACACCTGGGTGGAGCAGGGGGTGGGAGGGTGAGGGAGTCTAATCGGCCTTCAGCCTTTGGTTGGTCATGCGGTAGATGAGGCTGTCGCGGCCCGGGTCCATGTTCCACATCCCGTAGGAGACGGCGATGATGGCGAGAGCCATGGCCAGCATGAGCCACAGCACGATGTTGAAGACCACGGCGTAGTTGTAGTTGTAGCGGTACGCCAGGTTGTAGGGGTTCTGCATGTCCATCTGATGCACACAGACAAAGGGGGTTCCCCCCCGTCACCACTGTAGCCTTCACACAAACTGTTGTTGGGGCGAGTACGCCGATGAAGGCCGACACGTTGCAACAAAGGGGGTGGGTGGCCAGCACCACGCCCGGCAGGCCCCGTCTCCCGGCTGCTCGCCGTGTGGTGGTGGTGCTGTGTGGAAGTGCCGCGTGGTGTCGCCCGATGGTGGTGACGCGTGGTGGTGCCCTGTGGCGGTGCCCTGTGGCGGTGCCACGCCGTCCCCCACCTTGCTCTGCGTCTCCCGCAGCTGCAGCGCGGAGCGCCCCTTGCGCAGGGACGGCTCCGGAGCGGTGGCCACCGTAAGCGCCGCCACCACCACCTCCCCTCCCCACACGCCGGCCACGTCCTCCGCAAACTACGGCACAGCAAGCGGGACAGCGTCGCAGCGGTGACCGTGACCACAGGAGGGCTGCCGTTACCGTGGAGTTGGTTACCGAGGTCACCTTTACGGGCGCCTTGCCACCCCGGGGCGATGCAGCACAATGTACACGCAGCAGGCACAGTTGGGCGAGTGGTGCGGACGATTCTGTACCAGCGAGATGAACGAATCGACGAAAAACAATACAAACGACACGGGGAATCAATACCAAAATGGAATCGAAACAAAAATGTGTCGACCTGCGGATAGAGGAGGAGCGGGTGGGGGGGGCGGGGGCAAAGGAGAGAGGTTACCTGGGCAACGGCGTGTCCCAGCATGCTCCTCGCCTCCTCCGCCTGAGCGGACCCATCGCCATGACGACGCACCACTCCCAGCAGCCCCCCCAACTCCACGGCAACTACGGCCGGGGAGGCTGGGCTCGCAGAGGCTACCTACTCACACACGGGTTGGTAGGTGGGGGGGGACACCGAACGCTCACCCATCTCAACCCCCCCTTTTTCTGTGTGCCCGGCGAACAAGGCATCAGGTGATGAGAGTCGCTGATCACTCACGGAGCAGCGCAGACCGCTGCGTTGGAGAGCGGCCCGCGGAAGCGGATATCACAGAACTACTCCTCCAAAACAGCTTCAAAATTACTGGGGTAGCACTTTCCCACCCGGCCTAGTGCGGAGAGAACGTTCGTCGCACGGGCAGTCAACTCAATGTATCAATTCTCAAGAGCTGCACTCAAATGAGTGCAGAATCAAGATTTTCAAACGACGCATTTCTATTTTGTTGTTTTTGTTTGTGACCATCATGGACGTTGCTGCACTTGAGAATCCGGTTTCATCCGCCGAGGCTGTGCTGCCGAGAACCCGGATTCAAACCCAGGATCTCAGCGCTGCCGGCTCCAGCGCCCTCTGACATTTGACCTCTCGAACCTACCGATGGCTTGGTTTGAGGCGGCCGGGTGGCTCAGAGGTCAGCGGTCAAAGACGCAGAGCCAGCACCGGGTTTCGGACGCACAACCACAGCGGTTGAACCAGGGTTCTCAAGCACACAAGACAGCTGATGGCTTCAGCCCGGTCACCAAAGATCGGTGCATACACTCACAGATCCACAGTCTCACGTAGTCTCTTATTCTCATACAGACCCCACGGGCTTGTATAGATAGCCATTGATTCACATAGACCCCAGTTGTGCTGAAAATAGGTTCTCAAGCGCAGAGTTGACGGTCTCAGCCTGGTCACCAAAGACTCGCATTGAGAGCCCTAGACCTACAGACTCATTGTTGATATTACAGGTTATGGTCGATTCCTCACCCTTGTACGGCCATTGGTGATTAAGTTACAATTAAAATGATAGACAATCGTCTTTAAAATCAATGGCAGTTTGATGACAATGGCGATGGCAATGATGAACGCATTTTGCAATAAATGAAAGCTTGATGATGATGTAAACATCTTTCTGTAAACATTTGATCACTAGGATGGCATAAATTTTGAATGAGCAAATTAACGCTAGGATTGTGAGAACATATTTGAGTTATTCATTGTAGTAAGATGATGACGATGCTAGCTGAGAGGTGAGTGGGAGGTGGAAGAGGAGAGGTGATGAGTAGGAGAGGTAAGAGGAGAGATGAGAGAGTGGGAGGAGTGGGCAGAGAAGGTGGTGAGAGGGAGGAGAGGTGAGAGAGTGGGAGGAGAGGTGAGACAGTGGGAGGAGAGGTGAGACAGTGGGAGGAGAGGTGAGAGGGTGGGGTTAGAGAGAGGGAGGAGAGGTGAGAGAGTGGGAGGAGAAGTGAGAGAGTGGGAGGAGAGGTGAGAGAGTGGGAGGAGAGGTGAGAGCGAGGCAGGAGAGGTGAGAGAGAGGGAGGAGAGGTGAGAGCGAGGCAGGAGAGGTGAGAGCGAGGGAGGAGAGGTGAGAGAATGGGAGGAGAGGTGAGAGCGTGGGAGGAGAGGTGAGAGAGTGGGAGGAGAGGTGAGAGAGTGGGAGGAGAGGTGAGAGAGTGGGCAGAGAAGGAGGTGAGAGATTGGGCAGAGAAGGTGGTGAGAGGGTAGTGACGTACGGCCTTCGCAAACTCGTGCAGCAAGCGCAGCTCCAGCAGGAACTCCGCATCCTCCTGCGCACCCCACGCACACAGACACACGAACACTCGGACAAGTGCGTTGGCCAGTGTCGCCCCCCCGCCCACACACAAACACGTGCGTGAAACCTGCCTTTCCATACAAATGAAAGGGATTATATTGGGCGTTTCCATAAATCACCACGGGGTGGCGCGCTCGCCCTATTAGAATCCCATGCAGGTGAATGAGGTGACAATAGAGGAACCACGACTCCGGCAGGAACCGGCAGCATCCACGCAGAAACACGGACAAGGCGCACGCAAAGACAAATACACACGCGCACACCCCCACAGATGCGCACACACACACAAAGATCCCCAGAGCCGTACTCGCTATTGTGGCAAGTGCTGTTCGGCAGCCACCCATTACAGCAGGTGCAGTGTATTAGGAGGCGGTGTGGTTTCCCCGGTGCTGTTTACACATCGCACCAGCTTCTCATTTGAGACCGAGTCGACCTTGGGGAGGCCCAGGACTGGTCCAAGTAATCCGTCACTGGTGTTGGTGGCAGTGAGTGGGAATCAAAATCGGGTCGCCAGGTTTGTAGTGCAGGGCGCTAACCGCTACACTACCGCTACCCCCCCCCCCCCACGCACATACATTGACACCCACAACAACCGCCATTCGCCACAAAGTGGCGATGACGTCACGACCGCGCTGTGCCAGGCTATGTGCACTTTGAGGCCACAGGCACACATACATATACTTAGATGCAAAGACAAAGACCCCCCGTATAGTCTTAACAGACTGCAGGAGCACGTACTGTTAGCGAGCACCTATGAAAACCGGCACGGCACACGAGGGGGTGGGTGGCCAACACCACACCCAGCCACCTTCGTCCCCCTAGTGGCGATGTTTACACACCACACCAGGTACTCATTTGAGGTGGAGTCGACCTACGGGAGGCCCAGGACCGGTTCAGATAGTCGTCGCTGGTGTTGGCCGTGAGTGGGAATCTAACCCGGGCCAGCTCCGTAGGACACGCGCACACACACACACACACGTACCGACACGCGCGTGCACACACACACACACGTACCGACACGCACGTGCACACACACACACACACGTACCGACACGCACACACACACACGTACCGACACGCACGTGCACACACACACACACACGTACCGACACGCACACACACACACACACACGTACCGACACGCACACACACACATGTACCGACACGCACGTGCACACACACACACACACGTACCGACACGCACACACACACACACACGTACTGACACGCACGTGCACACACACACACACACACGTACCGACACGCACGTGCACACACACACACATGTACCGACACGCGCGTGCACACACACACACAAGCGAACCTGCACGGTGACGTTAAGGGACGACCCAGGAGCGATGGCCGTGTTGAGGTTGCGAGGTCTCAGATTTTCCCACTGCGCGATTTGAGAAAATGCCTTCCCAAAGCCGTACATGAACTGCACACAGACACACGAGACAAAGGTCCCCCATACAGCCTTCACCTGACTGTTGGGGCAAGTGCTGTTAAGCGAGCACCTATGAAGGCCGGCGCGGCACACGAGGGGAGTGGCTGGGTGGGGTGGCCGGGTGGGGTGGCCAACATCACGCCCGGCCCCCTTCGTCCCTCCCCAGTGCTCACACCACCACACCAGGTACTCATTTAAAGGAGAGTCGACATCGGAGAAGTCCGGGAAAGGTTCAAATATTTGCCGCGATTACTGGTTGGAAGCAAGAATCGAACTCTGGTTGCCGGGTTCGTAGCGCAGTGTGCTATGCCCACTGCATTACCCACACACTCAAATCAATAAATTCTACCCGATGAGAGTAAGATAAACTGGGCACCAATTTGAGGGCTCACCTGATGCATGGGCGAGTACTCCAGCATCAGCGAGTCATCCCCGAAGGACGACTCCAGCGAACTGCTCACCCACGACAAGTCAACCGGCACCGTCTGCTCCACACACGTACAAACAACACACACGTACACAGCGGCAACATTAGCAGCGGTAACAACGGCATGGGCAGCATTAATGTTTTGATGTGCATGCACGTGTGTGTACACGAGTGTGTCTGTGTATGCCTGTGTGTGCATATAAGCAAGCGTGTATACGCGTGTAAGTGCACTCGTGCGCCTGTGCGCGCCTGTGCGCGCCTGTGCGCGCCTGTGCGCGCATGTGCGCGCATGTGCGCGCATGTGTGCGTATGTGCGCGTATGTGCGCGTACATGAGCGACGCGGTAAGAGGCGATGGCCTTGGGCAGGAGTCGCTCGTCTGCCCCCAGCAGGGAGAGGAGCAGGAAGGCGCGGGGACGGAGAAACACATCGCCTGCTGCGAGGCCGCCCCACGGGAGCTCCTGCATCACATTATCAACATATCGTCGTCAACATCATCAGTATTATCATCACTACACCGTCACCACTATCGACATTAACACACAACCACCATCAAGACCACCATGACCATTACCACCACAATCCTGTTGCCATAATTACTGCCACCATCATCCACACAATCACGACCATCATCAGATGCCACCACAAACACCACAATCAGTCAATCAAAATCATTATTCACTCACCATCACGAATATCACCACCATGGAAACTATCACCATCACCACCATAAACAATCACCACCATAGATGGCATCAAACACCACCACCCAAACCACCATGATCACCACCACAATCACCACCACAGAAACCACCATGATCACCAACACAATCGCCACCACGATCACCACCACAATCACCACCCACCATCACCACCCACCATCACCACCCACCATCACCACCCACCATCACCACACCTATAAGGCTCCCCCCAATAGCGGGCCCCACCTGCTCCACGGAGAAGCCCATGGCCAGTGAGACGAGGTCTCCGACGCGGTCCCCAGGCAGCGACGCCTCCTCCTTGGCGAGCGACACGTACGCGGGCGCCCGCAGCACCAGCAGGCCGTCCGACGGCGGCGGCGCCTCCGCCGCCGCGCCTGATCAAACCAAACGCCAAGTGTTCAAGCGGTGCTGCACCCACGGCTGTCGGCACGTGGCAAGCTTCATCCTGAAGACGAGATTTTTTCTGCTCGTCCACGGCACCACCAGCCCAATAACAACCAGCCCCCACTGCTTTTCTAACGTGCGGCACACAAAGGAAGCCAGGCCACCCTTGGCCCACGTGATGTGGCTGAAGTTCAGGTGGAGAACTTGGGAGGAAAAACTTTGGCTCATGAGTAAGATGGGTCACGCTCCATTCGCAAACGTGTTTTTATTTGATATTTACTGGTGTAGCTTAGTCTTGTACAGTTCTCAATTATGAAATACAATCATAATCATCATTGGCCATGATTTATCTCCTGCAGAATGAAGGGCTCCACCACCCAACCCTCCCCCCAAGCTGTCGCCACCTCTCTCGGTCGCACAACTCAACAATCCGTCTCTAGCTCCACGAGCAGAGACCCATTATCATCGCTCTATCTCCGTGGGGAAAATACCTCCAGTCAACACATTTTGTCAAAATCGCATCCCGTGTCCGTCCGCGTGCCCCTCGAGGTCAGAAACACAGAGCCGGCACTGCTAAGATCTTTGGTTCAAATCCAAGATTCAGCCGCCCTGCCAAGGAATAAACCGAGTACTCAAATGTGATGAGAGTTAATGGCCTCTCAGCCTAGTCACCGATGGCTTACACAGAGACCCAATAGATTCAAATAGAGACTTGTAGACTTTAGTTACGCTTAAACTAGGTTCTCAAGTGCAGGGGAGTTGGTGGTCTCAACCTGGCTATCTTTGACTGCACACACACACACAAAAGACCCCGTCACATCAAACTTGGTTTTACATGTAATTTGGCAAAATTCAGTCAAAAGTGCAACCTCCAGCTACAAATAAGCCACAATCTCCGTACCCTGAAAATGGGTCAGTCCAAAACGTCAGTGATTATATGTTAACATTTTATAATGGAGTATTAATGTACGGTTATGTACAGTAGAGCCCTTTGTTAATCTACTGGTGGATGAAGGCCTCCCTATTTCTGTGTTGTTTGACCATACTTCACGACACAGATCAGATTAGTGAAGGATGAGGCCAAGACTGAATCTGGTATCACTCGCCACCGATGTTAGCCGTGGCTGGGAATCGAACCCAGGTCACCGTATGGTTGTCCACACAGGGCAGTGCAGCACTTTGCTTTTATGTGCCCACGTCTATGCCCCATGCCTTCACCAACCCGCACTTACTCGTATGGCGAAATATGGTATGGTAAAAAGAAACACAACTCCTACATGGAGTTGGAAAGCCCCATCCAGCAGTGGATTGACATAGGGGGCTGTACATCTCCATGGGTGTACATGTGTACAAATGCAATTATGGGTATGACTGTATGGGCTCGTGAAAAACGCTTGCCCAAAAACAAAAAAAGGCTACACAGGAATATTTGTGTGTGTATATGTATATGGGGAGCGGCGACCCGAGTTCGATTCCCGCTCACAGCCAACACCAGTGACGATTATCTGAACCGGTCCTGGGCCTCCCCTCGGTCGACTCGGCCTCAAATGAGTACCTGGTACGTTGTGTAAAAATTGCCACTAGGGAGACAAAGGCGCTCGGGCGTGGTGCTGGCCATCCACTCCTTCTACTGTTCCGGCCTTCATAGGTGCTCGCTAGCAGCACTTACCCCAAGTCTGTTAAGGCTATACGGGGGAGCTTTGTTTTTGTGTGTATATGCAAGAGCGTATGTTCACGTGTGTGCAGCATGTACGTGTGTATTGAGGGTTGCACTGTAAACAAGGACCAGCATTTGCAATGTGTTTGGTGTTGATGATATCAGCATCCACACTCAGCTCTGGTCCGGTTTTATCCCAACTCCAGGCCACAAACACAGGCCACATTCAGAGGGAACCGGACCTCACCAGACTTAGTCCTTGCGTCCCCTCATGCACCAACAAAGGGCAGCGTGCCCTCCATTACTCGCCTCACCATCCAAAAGGACAATAAACTAACACAAAATGTAGTTCTAAAAGAAGTTACTTTTCCATCAAGATGATTTAAAAGTGCACAGCTCCAGTGGCTTCGTAATATCGGACGAGCGTTCCAGACGGCCGCAGAAGCGCATCTAAAAGCACGCGATGCAGTGCCCGTTTTAATGGTTGTTCGTGATGTAATTCGTTTCTTGTTTTTTCTCCCCAATTTGCACAGAAATTATCCGGTGCGAACCAGAATGGAGACGCAAGCAATGATCCCCGCTAACTCGCTCGCAACCTGGGGGCGCCACGGTGGCTAGGAGATGTTAACTATCTCGCCTGGTATACAGGAGGTCTTGAGTTCGATCCCGACCCCGACGCCTGCTGCATATTTGGAGTTTGCGTGTCTCTCTCATCATCATCACGGTGGCTAGGAGATGTTAACTATCTCGCCTGGTATACAGGAGGGCTTGAGTTCGATCCCGACCCGACGCCTGCTGCATATTTGGTGTTTTCGTGTCTCTCTCATCATCATCACGGTGGCTAGGAGATGTTAACTATCTCGCCTGGTATACAGGAGGTCTTGAGTTCGATCCCGACCCCGACACCTGCTGCATATTTGGAGTTTGCGTGTCTCTCTCATCATCATCACGGTGGCTAGGAGATGTTAACTACCTCGGCTGGTATAGGAGGCCGTGAGTTCGATCCCGACCCCTGCTGCATATTTGGAGTTTGCGTGTCTCTCTCCCCGTAGTCGCGTGGATTTTTATCCAGGTCCTCCGGTTTTTCCCTCCACAATTAGAATCCACATCATAGAGTATGTGACTGCTCTAAATTCCCACGTGATAAGCCACTTCGTTGAGCTACCATTTGTGATGGCCAGGTCGCTTGTGAAAAAAAAGTTGTAATAGCTCAGTGGGCCTTACCTGGTAAAATAAATAAAACGTGAAGAGTTACAGTTACCTCACCATCGCCAAGCTAAAGCTTGAATTCAAAACCGAACTTTGCTGTTGCAATGCGACATGCAACTTCAACAGTAAGCCTAGAAATTATTAATTGTGGCACTTGTGCTGATGGTGGTTGGTGGTAGTGGTGAGGATGGTGGGAATGGTAGTAGTGGTCGTTAACATTTCGATTGATGTGAAGGTTATAGTTATTATTTTGATAGCGGAGATGACGGTGGTCGTGGTAATACTAATTATGGTAATTATGATGTTCGATATAGTCGAAGGTGGTAATGATGCATATGGTGATAATGGTGATTATGATAGTAGAGATGTAGGTAATGGTTTTGGCACTGTGGTAACGATGGTGGTAGCTGTGGTGATGCAGAATACTATCACAATCACCACCACCGTTAACACCTTCATCAGAATAATTACAACCCACACAACCACTACCCACGATCCAACCAATCTTCATAAGGAACCAACCCAACTATATACACACACGAAAACACGTCACAATTCCATTACAAATGAAATCGTTGACACTCGGTTCGATTAACATTTCTCCTTAAACACAACAAATCCGATTCCCACGTCAATATCTCCCGAGGCCGGCCAGGACAAGCCCCCACTTCCCGGCCTTCCCTCACTTCCGGTCGGCGGGGCTGCCAAAGCAAGAGCGAGGCCCTGGGTCCGAAGCGGACTAGGCCTTTGCCTCCCTGTCCCCACTCGCTTCTCGTCGTGTGGCCCTGAGAACGCGAACCTCGACTCCGACCGCTTCTCACCCTGCACGAGAAGGACGAGAGCCGCGAGGGCGGCGGTGAGGAGGAGGCGGCGGCGGCGGCGAAGCGGCGCGGCTGACGGGGCCATGATCACGGCGGCAGCGGTAACGGCGGGAGGCGACATCGACGGAGGCGCTGCGGGAGTCGTCGCGAGTCAGCTGACTGCGCCCGCCCCTGGCACGGAGGCGGCGGTCTCGTGACACCGGGACACGCCCCTCGTGACACCGGGACACGCCCCTCGTGACTATTCATGAGGCGACGCCGCACCCCCTCATTTGAATAATGGCGACGTTAATTGAGGACGTTATGGAGAGGGGGTTTTTTTTGGCGTTAGATCGCGTAAATATATAAATGTGTCGTGAAAACCCGCCACCACCCGACACAACTAGTAAGGGTTGTCACGTAAACAAGTGGCGCGCAGATGAGGTCTCCGCGGGGCTCGCGTGCCAGGCTCGGGGCGCTTCGTGGCCACGTGGTGGGTTCGAAGGCTCGCTGCTGGCGGGAGGTCACGGGACAGACCCAGGTGTCATGGGTTGACTGCTGTGCCAGGCTAGGTGCACGAGGAGGAGATCACGGGACAGACCCAGGTGTCATGGGTTGACTGCTGTGCCAGGCTAGGTGCACGAGGAGGAGATCACGGGACAGACCCAGGTGTCATGGGTTGCTTCCTGTGCCAGGCTATGTGCACGAGGAGATCACGGGACAGACCCAGGTGTCATGGGTTGCTTCCTGTGCCAGGCTAGGTGCACGAGGAGATCACGGGACAGACCCAAGTGTCATGGGTTGCTTCCTGTGCCAGGCTATGTGCACGAGGAGATCACGGGACAGACCCAGGTGTCATGGGTTGCTTCCTGTGCCAGGCTAGGTGCACGAGGAGATCACGGGACAGACCCAAGTGGCATGGGTTGCTTGCTGTGCCAGGCTAGGTGCACGAGGAGGAGATCACGGGACAGAACCATGTGTCATGGGTTGACTGCTGTGCCAGGCTAGGTGCACGAGGAGGTCACGGGACAGACCCAGGTGTCATAGGTTGACTGCTGTGCCAGGCTAGGTGCACGAGGAGGAGGTCACGGGACAACCAGGTGTCATGGATTGCCTGCTGTGCCAGGCTAGGTGCACGAGGAGGAGGTCACGGGACAGACCCAGGTGTCATGGATTGACTGAGATGACTGGCAGACGCACCACCTGCATGTATGTAATGTATGTTGAACTTCTTTCGCATCGTACGTAGCCAACCGTGCAAATCAGAGGTGCGGGGAAGGACAGCACACTAAACGCAAAAGGCAGTTCTAAAAAAATGTGTTTTAAATCTAGATTTAAAAGTGCATAGCTTTAGTGGTTTCCTAATATCGGAAGGAAAAGCGTTCCAGTCGGCCGCAGAAGCGCATTTGAAAGTGCGCGATGCGGTGACCGTCTTTGTTCGATGGCTTTAGCCAAAAGCCGCTGCTGCAAGGATGTCCGGAGTTAGCGTGATGGTTTATGCTCCTTGACGAGATAAGAACGCTATTGTGGTTTATTTGTGGCAAGCACTTTGCGTGCAATGAGTGCGACCTTAACACATTCCTGCGGAAGGAGCTGGTAAGAACGTTGGGTTGCTCGGTCAATGGCCACGGTCAACGGCGGCACCACGTGGTGTATTCCGCAAATATGCCCGACTGTAAGGGTTCGCACAAGCCGGCGTGAGTAGGTTAAACGTTGAGTTTTATAAGGGCACCACGGGGTGACCAGCCCCTCCCCAGTCAGCCCCACCCCTCCCCACCCAGCCCTTCCCCACTCCACCCAGCCCCACCCCTCCCATTTTTGGATGCACGACGGACGGACGGACACAATAATCCCCTGTGGGCTGGTGTAACCAGGAGTATAATGTAGTCATTCAGCAACCGGAAGCAAATGTAGCGTGGCGAGCATCGGACGGACACTACACATCTTGCAGTACCCGTCACAACGTATGGCTCAGAAACAAAGACAATAACAATACAATGGCGAGATGTTAACTACCTCGCCCGGTATGCAGGAGGTCGTGAGTTCGATCCTGATCCTGAGTATATTTTTAGTTTACATGGTCCCCTCCACATTTAGAAACACGCGTTTTTTAGAAACACGCGTTTCTAAATGTTTTTAAATTTCCACGTGATAAGTCACTTCGTAGTTTTATTCGTTTAAAAAGTGAAAAGTGTGAAAAGAAACGTGGAGAGATGTGCAGTTGGAATTCCGTCGAGAGACGGAAAAGGGCATACGCAGACGAGAGAGCGTACGCAGGTAACAGATACATCATCCACACCTTCCCGTATAACAATTGTGAGTGGACCTGGGCAGGACGCGTCACGGCCAGGAGGGACGATGGCCTATGGTCGAGAGTGGCAGCCAAAGGAACGGACGTCCAATTTGAGGAGGTGGAGCGATGAGACCGTCTCGGGTGCAGGTGCTGGTTGGATTACTAACGTCGCTGGGTTGTGAGCGGTGGCGGCGGCGGCGGCAGCATGGGGAGGGAGGCATTCATCTAGCTTTAGATTGATGGTGGCTAGTAAAGTCGCTAATATAACTCACAACACAAGTGCCAGGCAGTATGTGATCACGCCGTGGCCCTCCTCTAGGTAATGCGTACCCTGATCGTGATGCACTACAATATTGAACTATATATATTTTTTATTTTACCAAGTAAGACCCACTGAGCTATGTAGCTATTTTTCAGAAGTGGCCTGGCTGTCACAAATGATGGCTCAAAGAAGTTGCTCATCAGGCGGAAATGTATATCAGCCAAATACTCTAAACGCGTGATTGAACCCACGCCCTACGCAGGTGATGTGGTCATGACCACCATTGACATCGCAGGAGACGAAGGCGGCTGGGTGGTGGTGATGGTTGTGGTGATGTTTTCCACCACCACCACCACCACTTCCGCGAGCTCACACATTCACCGTGACAGCCTTAATATATGCTCGCTAACACGCACGCGCCCACTCAAGTCAACACAGCTGCACTGGGAGGGATGGTGGTATGCCTGTGAAATGGTAGAACTGACAGTCATTATCACTGACACTGTTATTATCGCTGACACGGGCGTGATTACGTCCTGTGTTCTCTGTATTTTTGGAGCCGTTACTCAGACTGCAATTAAAGGCGCCTTAATGAGCACGTGCGCTGTTTGCACGAGGCGGTGGGTGCCAGGTACACACGCGCCCACGCGTATGTGATGTTATGTGTACGCGTGTTTGTGCGTAATGCCCTGTGTGCGTGTGAGAATGTGCGTCTGGCCTGATGCTGGCCACCCACCCTCTCCCTCGTGTGCCGTGCCGGCCTTCATTGGTGTTCGCAAAGAGCAATTGCCCCAACGGTCTATTAAAACTTGAAGGGGACATCTTTGTGAAAGTGTGTGGGGCGCGGTGTCTAGAGTGCTGCGCTACGAACCCCGCGACGAGGGTTCAATTCCGGCCCACGACCACCAACATCAGTGACCATTATCTGAACTGGTCCTGGGAATCCCCTAGATCAACTCAGCATCAACTAACTGTAGTACGATGTGTAAACATCGCTTCTCGGGAGACAAAGGCGGCCCGGTGTGGTGCTACCTATTCACCCCCTCGTGTGCTATTACCTATTGGTGGGGTGTGGTTTGCGGGAGCGGTAGTGGTTAGCGCAATGCGCGACGAATCCGGCGACCCGGAAGACAAAGGCGGTCAACCGTGGTCGAGTCACACCGCCCACTCAATGCGCAGAATGCTGTCACCTTCAAAAGTGCTCGCTAACAGCGCTTGCCCGGAGAGCCCGTAGGCTATGCGGGGGGGGGGGGGGGGGGGGGTGTTACAATCCACGTGCAGCGCTTTGTCAATCCACTGCTGCAAAGAGCTTCATGCTGCCGGGATCGGGGGGAGGTGGGGGGGCTGGTTGCCCATACTTCACCACGATGACCAGTGCCGTGAAGGGACCATGGACGTGAGACCATATGTATTGAACAGCAATGGAGTTTACTTCATTACCCTCTGATGTTGCCCATATATGGGGGCCACGGTCGTGAGATGTTAACTACAGGAGGTCATGTGTTCGATCCCGACCCTGACGCCTGCTGTATATTTTTGTTCTTCCTATATGCATGTCTGTCTCCCCGTAGGCGCGTAGATTTTTTTTTCCATGACCTCCGTGTTTTCTCTCCACATTTAGAATCAACATCACGCGTTTAGAGTATATGGCTGATATATAGTACATTTCCACGTGACAAGCCACTTTGTTGAGCTATCATTTGTAGCCTGGTCGCTTCTGAAAAACAGCTACATAGCTCAGTGGGCGTTACCTGGTAAAATAAATATAAAAAATGTAATAGTTTCGTTTTAAAATTTGATATGAACTATCTAGTGCTACTGCAGCATTGGCAGTGGTGCACTAGCACAGTCAATAGAAAAAAACTCAACACACTGGGCACTAACAACACTGTGACCTTAAAAGGAAAAAAAGTTATATTGCCTAAAACATCGCCGAATATATATTTACTTCATCAGGGCCATTGCCCGAAACGTCGCATGATTCCATATACTGTACTATAGTGTGGAGTGCATATGTGCAGAGTGGTTTTATCATCCTCGATTTGAAGCTTTCGTGACTGCAAGGATTCATACTCATTGGTTTTTTCAGTAAAGTCACGTAGGTAAAATAAAATACAATATAAAATAAAATTAAATTGTATTTTACCTACGTGACTTTACCGAAAAAAACAAAGAGTATTTATCATCCTCCTCTATGATTTATCCACTGCTGGATGAGGGCTCTGCCAAAGCTGTGGCCATCTCTCACGACCCCGAGATCGACTGCTTCATTTCGATGGCCCAGAAGAAGGCCGTGCGGCTGACTGATGGGATAGATAACAAAAATGTTTTGCTATTTATTTTTGTTTATGTAGAGAGGCAGATATGTGAAGGAAACGTGTTCTCTGCTAATTTATTCGTGCTCATTCATTAATTGGGTGTACTTCGGAACTAAAAATGTAGTGAAGTCGTATAATCACCGCCGTGGCACACATGGCGAACGGAAATTATTTCACAGAAAGGTACAACCTTGTTGGGCATCGGGATATTTTGATTTGAAGCTTTCGTGACTGCAGGAATCCATACTCTTTGGTTCTTTCGGTAAAGTCACGTAGGTAGAAAAATAATCGATCACTATTATTTAGGTCACTATTATTTTTCTTAATAGTGATCTATTATTTTTCTACCTACGTGACTTTACCGAAGTAACCAAGGAGTAGAGAACGGGATATTTATTTAAACGTTTAATTATTGCGCTCTTGTTATTTAACGTTTTAGAAAACGAATTAGATGCGCAACGTCAATCACGATATGACGATATTGTACGCAACGGGGCGATACGATAATCGTAGGCATCGTCATATCGCGGGGAATCTGACTTGGGTTTTTTAAAATTATTACTTTCGCCGAGGGAAGAGATTCGACACCCATCGATTCCAAAAATCGTCTCTTCTGGTTACGTGCTGGAATCGATTCCATCCATTCGTCACCAGCGTCCAGAGCTCCCGGCACGGAGCGGCGGCCGGCAACTCGGCGAGGAATTCCTGCATTGTGGAGGCGCGATTAGACACACGTGGGTGGTCAACAACATCATCACCAACAACATCATTATCAATTGATCCTCATCATCAAATCACCACCATCGTCATGGACAAGTCAACGTTTCGCGTCGTCACGACGATTATATTTAAAACATTTCGACATGATCGGCGAACCATGATCATGAACAATTTTTTAATAGTCATCAGAAATTCACCATCGTCACGCCGTCGTAATTCAAGGTTTCGCGTAATTATAATTTGCATTAATCCATCATCACGGCGATGCTAATCACGAGTTAATCTGTATCATAATAGTTAAGCTAAATCAGCATTGTAACGTTCACGATTACCATAAACAACGCATGTTTATAAGGGTCATCGTCGTCACCCCGAAATAGCATCAGGCTACCATCATACATTAATAATCATATAATAGTCACCATTTGATTGGAGTCATAATTAATACATAGCTACCACCATCAAACCATCCTCAACATCAACATGTAGCCACCATGTATATTCACCGTAATGCATGCTGATAATCACCACTGTGATCATACATCATTATCATCAATGTAAAATGACAGTTGTTGCTCTACATCAGCAACGGCCATACGTAAAATATTACAATCATCATTATTATCGATTCATTATCATCACTATCTTCAATCGTCGTTGTTGTTTGTTGTGTTGAATGAAGAGGTGAGATTCTGCGAGGCTCGAGATGACAGCTCAAGTCGCGAGGCTGCTGCCGCTGCTGTCCATGGTGCTGAACACCCTCTGCGCACAGGTGGTGTGATGTGTGGGGGGAGCGGTGGCGCAGTGGTTAGCGCGTCACCGTGCAGGTGCCTGTATGTTTTTGTGTGCGCGCGCATGTCTGTACGCGCGCGTGTGTGTGTGTGTGCGCGCACACGAGTGTGTAGCTTCAAAGTGCACATAGCCTGGCACAAGCGCCGTGGTGACGCCACCAACATTGAGTAGCGAATGTTTAAACATCGTCACCAGAGGGACAAAGGCGGTGCTTGCTCCCCTACTCCCTCGTTTGCCTTTCAGGCCTTCATAGATGCTCGCTAACGGTACTTGCCCCAAAAGTATTTCAAGGCTATACGAAGGTTATTTGTGTATGGGGTGTGGTGGCGCAGTGATTAGCGTACTGCGTTACGAACCCCGCGACCTAAAATCGATTTGCAACCACCGTCAACATCAATGACGAGTGACATCCCAACCGCTCCAGAGCCTCCCGAAGACGGAATCACCCTTACGTGAATAACAAATTGTACAGTGTGTACGTTGTAAATATTTAAACAAACAAAAACTTTAAGCTATTTTTTTGGGTATTTTACCAGGTAAGGGCCAGTCACCTATGTAGCTCTTTTTCAGAAGCGATCTGGCCAGAAATGGTAGCTCAACGAAGTTGCTTATCGTCGTCGTGTGGAAATTTATGGCAGCGGAATATTCTAAACGCGTGTTACTAAACATCAGCACTGGGGATACAAAAACGGCCGGGCGTGGTGCTGGCTAAACCCGTGGCGACCTTAATAGGCGTTCGCTAACAGCACTTGCCCCAGTAGACTGTTAAGCCTATACGGGGGATCTTGTCTTTGCGTGTGCACACGTGGAGACTGGCGTGACTGTGCGATCACGTGACAGTGCACGGGATGGGGGGGGGCCTTGGGTGTCGCGTCACGAGGTTGTCATGGCAACCGAAACCGTGAGACAGCATATCACGTGACGTCTTGCCATTGCGTAACCGATGACGACGACAGGCGCTGTGATGGTGCCGGTTGCACCGATGATTGTGATGATGGCACCGATGATTGTGATGATGGTAACGATGATGATGGTGTCCAGATTGAGTTACGTGAAGATGCACGTGGTGGTGGTGCTGTTGATATTGACGAGGATAATGTTTACGACGACGATGATGATGCTGATGGTACTGATGCTGATGGTATGATTGTGAGTGGTGTTGATCCTGACGATGTCCGTGAAAATGATCCTGATGATGCTGATGATGATGGTCATGCTGATGATGACACTGACAGTGATGATGACGATATTCAGTGACGATTCCGATACTGGCAGTGATGATGAGAATGTTGGTGATGTTCGGGATGATGCTGGCGAAGATGCTGCCGATGATTACGATGATGTTAGTGATGTGTGTGACGTGGTTAGTGAAGATGGTGCCGATGATTATTATGATGGTGATGATGATGATGGTACTACTGGTGGTATGTGCGTATGTCGAACTTCTTCCGCACCGTACGTAGCCAACCGTGCCAGTGGGTGATGTGATGAGTCATGTGTGTGGTGATGAAAACGATGCTGCTGCTGCTGCTGACGATGGTTAAATTCTCACCCAAGGTCAATCGCAACTTCGTCGGAGCCCGACATTGAGAAGGGCGCGCGCGGTTCCGCAACGGGGGGGGAGGGGGGGGGCACGTGGAGAGGGCGGTGGGGGAGGGGCGGGGGAGAGGTAGGAGAGGGGCGGGGTGATTGGGGAGTGGCCGTGACAGAGGGGATAGAGAGGGGTGATTACGGGAGGGGAGGGGCTGGTTGGGGGAGTGGTGGGGTTATTGGGGGAGGGGCGGGGTTATTGGGGGAGGGGCGGGGTTATTGGGGGAGGGGCGGGTTATTGGGGGAGGGGCGGGGTTATTGGGGGAGGGGCGGGTTATTGGGGAAGGGGTGGGGTTATTGGGGGAGGGGTGGGTTATTGGGGGAGGGGCGGGTTATTGGGGGAGGGTTATTGGGGGAGGGGCGGGTTATTGGGGGAGGGGCGGGGTTATTGGGGGAGGGGCGGGGTTATTGGGGGAGGGGCGGAGTTATTGCGGGAGGGGCGGGTTATTGGGGGAATGTGGAGTGGAGGGGAAGGTGTGCATGGAAGTTCATGGACGGCAATGACATCCGCGTGTATTTTGTGTGTCTGGGTGAGAACTCAAGAGACCAGGATGGAATCTCATTTGCAAGAGTGGCCTGGGTCATAAAAAAAATTACACAGCACAGTTACAATTAAGTTACGCAAGCATTAAACAGATACACTGCTGATATGCGTAAGAGGAGGGTATGTCTTAAAACAACTCGCCCTAACCTTCGCCCTAGAATTAGCCCTCAGTAGCTTGTGATGCCAAATAACTCTTTAATTCCATCAACAACTTAACTTTCAGCGTCACAGTCTATCACCGTCCTTAAGTGGTGGAGTGGTGATCCGATCTCCGACCTTCAGGAACAAGTTTGAAAATTTGCTGAGTATGTCTGTGAAGGTTTTGGCAGAGGGGGAAAACTTTTCAGCCCATACAGCATATCGGGACAATGTGGGGTTGATCCACTGAGGATATTAGAACCTCAAATATTCGAAGGAGTAGCTAACTATCCCACATGAGTGGCGTATGCTGAACAGAGATGGCCTCCCAAGGGAACTGCCTGGCGAACTTTTTTCAGAGGCCAGGGTTTTTCCAGCCGAGGTCTCAGGTTTAATCAATGGAGCGGCATTACACAATATTTATATCAACTGATTAAAGCTGTGTGGCAGCGACCTGGCCTATCGCTCCACACGAAGCTCCGGGTCTTATTTATTCTTGTGAAACGTGGACAACCTTAACGACACCTGTGCAGCCTTGAACCATTCAGATCTTATCACAGTGAGCTCCTCCGGCAGGCCAGGCTGCGTTGGCTGGGTCATGTAGCCCGCATGCCCAGCCACCGCATGCCCAGCCACCGCATGCCCAGCCACCGCATGCCCAGCCACCGCATGCCCAGCCACCGCATGCCCAGCCACCGCATGCCCAGCCACCGCATGCCCAGCCACCGCATGCCCAGCCACCGCATGCCCAGCCACCGCATGCCCAGCCACCGCATGCCCAGCCACCGCATGCCCAGCCACCGCATGCCCAGCCACCGCATGCCCAGCCACCGCATGCCCAGCCACCGCATGCCCAGCCACCGCATGCCCAAGCAGCTTTTGTTTGGCTGCATAGAGGGCGCTAAACGGGCACGACATGGGCTGGTGAAGAGATGGACTGATGCGGTACAGGATGATATGGAGCTGAGTGGACTAGTCGATGACTGGTACCAGCGCTGTGGGGGAGGTTCGTGAAGGATGCTACTGGGCACTTGGAGTAAACCGCCCTCCAGCAACGGAAGGCGGAGGAGTGACGCTCACAACAACGAGCGGAGCGCCGGGTGGATAAAACTCAGCAAATTGGCACAGTTGGGTGCACAGGCGGTGCTTCTCGACACTTCACGTGGCCTCAATGTGTACCTAGCCTGGCACAAGCGCCGTGGTAACGTCACTCGCCATTCAGTGGCGAACGGCGGTTGTTGTTGTGTGTCTCTGTGTGTCTCTGTGTGTGATGTCACCCCCACACCCGGTACCCGGTTACCAGGCCAACGGTTACCATGACGACGACAACCCAGACCCCTGCGCGTGGAACCCGTGCCGGAACGGCGGTGCGTGCTCGCGCGCGCACCCCCCCGCGCCCCTCCCCTCACATCCCCCAGCGCCCCTCCCCTCACATCCCCCGGCGCCCCTCCCCTCAGGCCCCCCAGCGCCCCTCCCCTCACACACCCCCGCGCCCCTCCCCTCAGACCCCCCAGCGCCCCTCCCCTCACACCCAGACGAACACCCTCCCGCCTATCGGGAACCAACCCCAGAGGCGCCCCCCATCGTACACCCCGATGGATACCAGGACTCACACCCCACCGCCGAGGGTGCGCAGCCTCCGCCCGTACACCCGGACGCACAACCCCTAAAGGAACAGCCGGACGCGCCCGTCGCGCACCCCACCTCGCAGCGCTCAGACGAACACCCGGACGAGCACACAGGGGCACAGCCGGAAGCACAGCCGGAAACACAGCCGCAGGCAGGACTCAGCCCCCCAGGGCGCGCGCCGGCCCCGGCCCTCTCCCTCCCCTCGACCGCTCCTCCTCCTCCCCCCTCCTCATCCCCCCCCACCGCCCCAGCCCCGCCCCCCGTGTCCCCACGGGGGGGGTTCGTGTGCGCGTGCGCGCCCGGTTTCCATGGTCACGACTGCGCCGAGGAGGAGGCGAAAGAGGAGGAGGAGAAGAAGGAGGTGAAGGAGGAGAAGGAGGAGGTGAAGGAGGAGGCGAAGGAGGAGAAGGAGGAGGCGAAGGAGGAGAAGGAGGAGAAGAAGGAGGCGAAAGAGGAGGAGAAGAAGGAGGAGGTGAAGGAGGAGAAGGAGGAGGTGAAGGAGGAGAAGGAGGAGGCGAAGGAGGAGGTGAAGGAGGAGGAGGAGGGAGCGGCTTGCCGAGTGGTGCCCTGCAGGAACGGCGCCTCCTGCACCGGCGCGGCCGGCGGCTACGTGTGCCGCTGCGCTCCCGGCTTCACTGGGAGACGATGCGAAGCGCGTGAGCGCCCTGCACCCCACATATAGTACCCTACATCCCATATATAGCACCCTACATCCCATATATAGTACCCTACATCCCATATATAGTACCCTACATCCCATATATAGCACCCTACATCCCATATATAGCACCCTACATCCCATATATAGCACCCTGCACCCCACATATAGCACCCTGCACCCCATATATAGTACCCTACATCCCATATATATAGCACCCTGCACCTCATATATAGTACCCTACATCCCATATATAGTACCCTGCATCCCATATATAGCACCCTACATCCCATATATAGCACCCTACATCCCATATATAGCACCCTGCACCCCACATATAGCACCCTGCACCCCATATATAGTACCCTACATCCCATATATATAGCACCCTGCACCTCATATATAGTACCCTACATCCCATATATAGTACCCTGCATCCCATATATAGTACCCTGTATCCCATATATAGTACCCTGCACCCCACATATAGCACACTGCACCCCATATATAGTACCCTACATCCCATATATAGCACCCTGCACCTCATATATAGTACCCTACATCCCATATATAGTACCCTGCATCCCATATATAGTACACTGCACCCCATATATAGTACCCTGCATCCCATATATAGTACCCTGCACCTCATATATAGTACCCTGCATCCCATATATAGTACCCTGCACCCCATATATAGTACCCTGCACCCCATATATAGTACCCTGTACTCCATATATAGTACCCTGCACCCCATATATAGCACCCTGCATCCCATATATAGCACCCTGCATCCCATATATAGCACCCTGCACCCCATATATAGTACCCTGCACCCCATATATAGTACCCTGTATCCCATATATAGTACCCTGTATCCCATATATAGTACCCTGCACCCCATATATAGTACCCTGCATCCCATATATAGTACCCTGCATCCCATATATAGTACCCTGCATCCCATATATAGTACCCTGTATCCCATATATAGTACCCTGCATCCCATATATAGTACCCTGCACCCCATATATAGTACCCTGTATCCCATATATAGCACCCTGTATCCCATATATAGTACCCTGCACCCCATATATAGTACCCTGCATCCCATATATAGTACCCTGCATCCCATATATAGTACCCTGCACCCCATATATAGTACCCTGCACCCCATATATAGTACCCTGCATCCCTTATATAGTACCCTGCACCCCATATATAGTACCCTACATCCCATATATAGCACCCTGCACCTCATATATAGTACCCTGCACCCCATACATAGTACCCTGCACCCCATATATAGTACCCTGCATCCCATATATAGTACCCTGCACCCCATATATAGTACCCTGCATCCCATATATAGTACCCTGTATCCCATATATAGTACCCTGTATCCCATATATAGTACCCTGCACCCCATATATAGTACCCTGCACCCCATAATATAGTACCCTACATCCCATATATAGTACCCTGCACCCCATATATAGTACCCTGCACCGCATATATAGTACCCTGCACCCCATATATAGTACCCTGCACTCATTGTGCCCTGCACTCAAAGCTCTACGCAACATGAGCTGATTACATCATCGCTCCATCTCCCCAGTGGACGTCCTCTCGGTCCCGTTCCTTGGCTGCCATTCCATTATGAGTCTCGACCATCGGCCACCATCGTACCTTCTGGCACGTTTCCCCACAGCCGCAACCATGTTAGTTCACCTGCGTATGTGTGTGTAAGACTTCTTTCGCACCGTACGTAGCCAACCGTGTTAATCGGAGGTATGTGTTGGACTTCTTTCGCACCGTACGTTGATAGGCGGAATACAACGCGAGACGAGGAGGGGCTGATCTGGAACGGGGCTCTCTGGCCCTCCTCGCCCCAGCACTGATATTTATTATTTATTCACAAAAAAAACTCATCCCATTTTTTTGGCCAATGCCACTTACATTTCTAGATGTAAAACTAATTTCTTTAGAACTGATTTTTGTTTTTAGTTTGTTGCCCTTCCGCCGCACCTCCGATGAAGCACGGTCGGCTACGTACGATGCGAAAGAAGTTCAATGTACATACCTGGTATGGGGGATTGTTTTTGTTTGCTATGGGAGGAAACCGGAGAACGCGGAGGAGACTCCACACAGAAAGGCGCACCGAGACGGGAATCGAACCCGGGTGCTCCACGCTGCGAGGCAGCACCGCGCCACGCTGACAGAGGTGCCACTCACGACCCCTCGCACCCACCCCTTGACACGCACACCCCACCCCCCACAGGTACCCCCCTCCGTGCTCTCCCACGCGAGCGCTCCCCCAGCGCTTCGGTGTCAGAGCCGAGAGGCCTCGGCCCCGGGTCCCGGCAGCAGAAGCAGCCGCGGATCGACGACGCGGTCCCCTTGGACCCCCAGGGCCGAGTGCTCCCCCTGGCAGCCGCCGCGGGCGGCTCTGCGCTGCTGCTCGTGCTGCTGGTGGTGGCCGTGGGCGCGCGGCGTCTGGGGCGCATCGGCGCCCACGCGGAGGAGTCTCAGCTGGCCGGGATGGCGAGGGGCGCGGCGCCTCTGCACCGCCTGCGCGCCATTCACCTGGGACGCGCGCAGGCCGCGCTGAGACGGGCCAGGTGAGGCCCGGGGGCGGGGCGGTGGATTGCTGGTTAGAAGGAGAGGGGATGGTTTGGCGGGTGGGTCATATCGCGTGAGTTACAATGTTGTGTCGCATACCCTCCCTCCACCCGACGCGGCCAACCTTTTCGAGCTGTCGCGTGCACGACCGCTTTTGATTTACCGCTTCAAGCGCACGTTCGCTCTCGCGTGGCGACTCTGTTAAATCGGCTGTGTCGGGTGGAGGAGGGTTTAGGACGCAACATTTTCCTTGCGCGTCGATCTAAAACTAAACTATTGGTAACGAAAGCCCTGCCACACGTGGTATATTTCATCAGAAAACTGCCGTTAAAAGTCATTTTAGAGCTATTTTGTCTTCCCAAGTTTTGGGCAGCCCTCTGACAAATGTAGCAGGGTTTGTTTCTTTGTTATGTAATTGGCAACAAAACTTCATACTCAAGCTTCGTTCTCATCGAATCAATATCATGCGAGATAGAACTCGACACAGATGGTTGCACACACGCCCGCGTGCGTGTAGAGAGCAGTGTTCTTCAATCATGAGACATCATCAGTGTGAGGGCCGCCACACCATTTGAAACCATTGGGGGTTTGTGACAGCAGCAAGATGATGACGAGGTGGTGGTGTTTGCATTTTGTGTAGTCGGGGGCCGCACGCCAGGGGCTGCACTAGACGCCACCAGGGCCCGCCAGTGGCCCGCGGGCCTTGCAATAAAGAACACTGGCGTAGAGTGAAGGTGTGGTGGTAAGAATAATCATGGCCTTTATAATGCGCCAAATTTTGCAGACACGTCAATAACTCAGAGGCGCGGGCCAAGCTTCAGGGCTGCTCGAAAAGTCTGACCCAAACAGATGTTAGACGTTTCTTAAAAGTCAAGAGTGCATTTGATGTTGCGGATGTGCAAAGGGAGTTCCACACCGAGGGGGCGATAGCAGAGAACCGACGTGAAGCTGTAACAGTTCAAGACGTTGGTGGTGTCCGAAGCAGATGTTGCGTGACGCTGCGTGAGGTTCCACCATGGTGCACGCTGCCACTCGTCACGGGCTGCAGTGGCCGTGCAGGCGAAGTGATAACTCAAGCCTTGGGCGCCTTTCTCCGTGTAGAATGTGTGTGTTCTCCCCCTGTTCTGCAGTTTGTGTGTAAGAGAGTGAGTGGAGTTTGTCTGCTCTCTATTCTGCATGCATTCCCTTCGGGATTTTCCGGTTTCCTTGAATAGTAAATTTGAAAAATGCTGAACTGGTATTGGCCAAAAAACATCCCAGTTCCGAAAAATCACACTGCAAATTACTCAATTGGAATCTCACGCAGCAGCAGTAACATCGCACCCTGCTCCGAACCACTTGGCAGTAGACTCCTGAAAAAATTGTCTTGAGACTCAATGAGGCTTCCTGCAGGGTACACACGCGGAATTGTCATAATTATCATAATCACTCCATTCATCATAATTGTAATCACCACAATCATCGTAATCATCATAATCACCACAATCAACATAATTATCATAATCTCCACAATAAGCATAATCATCACAAGCACACTCATGATCACCAAAATCATCATAATCATCACAATCATAACATTCATAATCACACTGATGTAATGGATGCCGGCCGGCTGGGTGTGCAGGTTCGATCGCCGCGCGTTCCAGGACGGAGGCGATGACGACTCGACCCGCGACGACAAACCACTGGTGTGAACGGAACGAGAATGGAACGGAGACGGAACGGAACGAGCGCGGAACGAGCGCGGAACAAGTGCGGAGCGGGCATGGGGCGACAGACACAAGGCCCGTCGCCAGCGAGCGTGGAGTGCTATATTATTAATTGTACTGTTTATTTGCAATCTCGTCTCTCTCTCTCTTGTCCTTCATTTCACTCGCGTCCATCCCCTACTTAAACCATCGAGAGCAGAGTCGACTCTCGGTTATCCGGGGTAATTGGGAGAGAGGTGGAGACAGAGGCCTGGATTTAAAAAAATAACCGTGGATAATTCACACTACGTAAATTAGGCTAGGACCACGTGTTTACTACCACACGGGACGCTGGTGCGAACACGGGGAAGCAGGTGGACGTCTGTTGTCATTGCTGCTCAAAGTACCGTACCCGGTATTAATTCCCGATGT